AGTTCAAATGGACTGCCATGTTCTCCGTAAAATGTCTTGTAAAAACAACGCCGATGAAATCTTCAAATCGTGCTATCGTGATGTTAGAAATAAACTCAAAACTAAAATAAAATCCGCCAAGCGTGATTTTTATCAACGAGCTTTTTCGTCCAAAAATCAAAAAAAGGTGTGGAAGATTATACACAGAATACTTCATCCAATCCTAAACCTCTTCGAATTGATCCTGATGAATTGAACACCCACTTTGCTTTTACTACTGAACGTGTCACTGGTGCAATACCTGAGCCAACTCAAAACTTGTGGTCTTTCATTATTACCTTACCAGATGATTCAACTAATGCATTTCACCTTCGAGAAGTTAGTTATTAAAAAGTTTTGAATGAAATTAAGAATTTGCGCTCGGATTGCTTGTGTGGTCCTGATGGTATTCCTGTCAAATACATCAAAATGATAGCCGAGCAGCTTGCTTCACCTGGAGCTCTGACACATATTATCAATAACTGCATATCGAAGCAGCTATTCCCCTCACCTTGGAAGATCGCTCGTATCTGCGTCACTCCAAAAGTTCAGAATATATCCTCGAATAACGATCTCCATCCTATTTCCATTCTGCCAAGCCTATCCAAAATCTTTGAACGACTCGTTCTCCGCCAAATGTCTGATTTCGTAACCAATACAACCACTGGAGTACTTAATCAATCCATTAGTGCTTACCGCAAAGATCACAACACTACGACAGTTATGTTGGCAATGCGAGATGATATTCAGCGAGCTATGAAGAGGTGAAGTCACAATAGCTGTTCTCGCAGATTTCTCGAAAGCGTTCGATACTGTGTCGTATTCTACCATCTTAAGAAAACTCCATTCACAAGGTTTCTCCAAAGAGTATCTCAAATGGGTCACAACCTATCTGACTGGTCGACGACAGTTTGTTCAAATAGACGACGCAGTGTCAAACACAACTAACGTTTGTTTTGGAGTTCCACAAGGGTCTATACTTGGTCCTGTACTCTTCAACCTATATGTCAATGATCTCTCTGAAAACCTTGACGACTCTATATCTTCACATCAGTATGCCGAGGACACTACCATCTATGCACATTGTAAGCCAGCTGACATAAAGTCAGGTGAAGAGAAAATTCAATCCAATCTGGATAAACTTTCCGGCCGGTCTAGTTCTAATAACCTTGTTCTTAACCCCAATAAGACAAAAATCATGCTTTTCTCGACTAGTCAACTCTCTCGTGTGCACCAACTTGATGAAGATCGTTCTGTTCATCTTCATGCTAATGGAATTGAACTTAAAAGAACTAAATGTGCGGCTCTTTTTGGTACTACATTGCATCAAAATTTAAAGTGGAATGATGATGTAAACAAAAAGATCTCAAGTTGTTACGCGACATTATCCGTCTTGAGAAAATTGAAACATTTGGCACCATTTAAAATTCGGAAGCAACTCGCGGAGTGTCTGGTGCTATCAAAAATTGATTACAACGATGTCGTGTCTAGTCCAGTACCAGAATACCTATTAAAACGCTTACAGAGTGCAGTTCGCTGCTGCTGGCTTTGTATTTAATAGGTGCGCTAGATTCACTGATGTCATGTCCCTCGGTTGGCTTCCAATTTTGGAACGTAGGAATTATCATCTTGCCAAATTAGCATACAAAGCAATGAATTGTGATGACTGGCCTTCATACTTAAAATTAGAGGAATATATTCCTATCAGACCATTACGATCATCATCTGCCCAGCGTCTAGTAGTCCCTATTATCTCTGGAACCTTCCAAGATGAGGCAGCTCGAGTGTTCAATTCCTTACCTGAAGAAATTCGAAACTGCGATACATTTAAAGATTATTGCAGAACCTCCTCCGAGTACTTCAAAACAATAGTCAAGAACAAAATTAGTGACACGTCGTAAACTCTGTTGACATTGTCTGTATAACTATACTGTATATTACTGTGTATAAGTAATGTCAATTGTTAAATACTGTAATGTATAACATACTACGTATTATAATACTTGTTGTGTCGTATTATGTACTCCGTTGTATGTATTGTATACTTTGTTATCTTATAATCAAACTCACTTGTAGCATAGAAGAGCCACTATGTGGAAATGCTATTAAATCATTATTATTATTATTATTATTATTGTCCAAAGATTGTCTGGATTTTATATTTAGTACATTGAAAAGAAAAGCCAAGAGTTTGATTATGTGGAAAGGGTTCAAAAGAACAAGAAAGAATTCGGGGAAATTGACCAAGAAATACATCAAATTAAGTATAATTAAAGAACATATTTTAAAGTTTTGTAATGAACCAAGAAAGCCGAGTTACCATTAGCCTGTGGGCAGACTCAACCCAAATTTATTAAATGCCAATTTGAGTTGACATTTACAAAATTCAAGTTAAGTTGATTTGCACCCAGGCTAGGGTGACACACAAAACCAAATTAAGTTGGTGGTAGGCTTAGTATGGTTTATAATTCATATAATACAACTCATCCATGTAACTCATATAAGCATATTTTCTTTAGGCAAAACAATTACATACCATTTTAAGTATAAAAGAACAATTATCTGGTATTTACACTTGTCCGTTTGCGCCATTGCCCAACTATGGCTGTGCTATGTGACTGGTTTGGCATATCTTGTGCTAGTGGAAGCAAGATTTTTATCACATGGATACTGTTCCTTGAAAAGGAATTAAAATTTTTGATAAAATTTGCAACTTTATCCGAGATGGAAGGAATTTCCAGCCCAAAATGTTATGAAGAAATGAAATACCTTCGGGCAATAATTGACTGTACAGAACTCTACATTGACAAACCTTCAAGGCTCTCAAGCCAGCGAAATACCTATACAGCCAATACAAGTCAAGAAACACATTCAAAGTGTTGGTGTCACAATCCCCGTTATGTCATTTTAACTTTGTTTCTAATGCTTATTCGGGATCAATAAGTGATAAAGAAATAGTTCAGAAATCTGGCTTTCTTGATTATTTGGAAGAAGGTGATATCGTAATGGCTGATAAGGGTTTCAACATTCAAGATCTTTTAGCTATCCAATGTGTTCGTCTTATAGCCCCACCAATTATGAGAAAAGACAATGTATCAGCTTGCGCTTCCACATTAACCCGAAGAATTGCTACCAAACGAGTTCACATTGAACGAATGATTCGAAAACTTAAGAGTTTTGCAATCCTGAGAAAATGTCTTCCTCTAACATTCAAAGGGTATATAAGTTCAATTGTTAAAGTGGTTTCATCATTGGTAAATTTACAACCACCTATCATAAAAACCTAAAAAATAATTAAGAGGAATTTGTAGATGCATGGGAAAGTTGCGTGGACATTATATACATTTATGCACCTATCAATGTTAATGGGGGGGGGGGGATGTCGGGCATATGTGGGGTATTTGATCATCAATTGCATCCCCACCCTGGGGATTTTGATTACCGGTAGCATGTTGGCCCGGAGTTGGGGCAATTTGAACCGAATGAGTTTTATTAACATAGTATTTATTGCAATTTATTGCAAAATGGTGGGGCATTTGACCAATATTTATTGCCCGACGGTGGGGCATTTGATTGAAAATTGGTCAAAAAATCAAATGCCCCACCTATGCCCGACCCCCCCCCCCTCTGGGGCTTAACATTGATAGGTGCATTATTAGACCTAACCAGGAGCAGTTGTGAAAAATGCAACTACATGCCCTCAGTTTAATTCATGCATTCAGTGCCAGTGCTCTAGCGCTTAGAGCAAAAAGTTACTTTCAAATGATACATAGTAGCCCAATATTTTTTTGCTTTTGTTCTTCCTTCTTCGGCTTGTTCAGCAGTAAACCATTTATGCAGTTTTTGTACATATTCATCTGGACTGTTTTCATATATTTCCATTTCCAGCTGTATTAAAATAGATTATGGTTTTTACTATAATTGTAATTGATGAGTAGTTAGCATTTGTTTAAATTATTTTTGTATAACTTTATCCCCATGGTGGGACCATGAGAACATTGGCAAATGGATACTAATGTCTGTATATAGTAAATAATTATTATTTGTTTTTAATTAATACCTTCAAGAAATGCTCCAAAAATAAGACAATATAAAAACCACAACTGTTACTGTCCAGAAGCTGTTGTGGTACCTACAGTAAACAAAGTAATGTACAGGGGCCAGTTGTTCAAAGGTGGGTTTAAACGCTAACCATGGGTTAAAATTTAACCTGCTATTTTAGTTTATGCATTTCAGCACGTCTGTTTATTTCAAAACTTCAGTAAAGTAAACTCCTATTGATCCAGACAAGATCTCTCAAGAAATATTTCCAAATTTATGGATAAGCTTTCAGGAAATTTGCTTTGAATTTTAGGTTAATCTAGGTTTAAGCTAACCCAGCTTTGAAGTTTGAACAACTACGGTAGCCTTGATGTGTATACTCACTATAGCCAGCGTGGCCGGCTCTTTTATAACTAGAGCCTGCCCGAAAGCCCTTGTCACAGATTAAGAGGACCAGATGTCTGACTTCATTGAAAAAAGCGTAAGGGCTTGGTCACTGCGCATGTCTTACTGCGCATAGCTTAGCAAGTGACTAGAGGCAATCACCACCTCCCCAGTGAACTGTATAACACTGCAACGCTAACTGCAGGTAAACATGCCCATACTTGCCCGAAGCCAAGATGGCGCTTCTCGCAAGCTCAGCGAGCAATAAATCATCCTCGTCCCCAGGCCCAAGCTCGGGCGGCCCTCACAGTGGCCCTGGTTCAGGCTGTTGAGCAGTTGATTGTGATTGGCTCTTTTGCTCTAAAGGAATGTTGCGGGTGGGAAGGAATTGCGGGTTAACAATAAACAATGGCTGGCGCGAAGAGTGGCAATTATTATAAACTGGTATTAAATTATGGTAGAAATCAGATAGTTTACATGTAAATTTTTGCTTAATTAAACTAATAAACTATGATATGGACAAATTCAAGACTGCTGGAAACCAACTACATGGATATTTGAAGGATTAAATACATTTGAAACGAATTGAATGATAAAGTTCAAGACTCGGATATCAGTCACATTCACGACTATGGAAATTAATATATATTGTGTACGCATATGTTGCAAGATTATTGCGTAAATTGTCGCCCTCCACCTATCTGTTTGCATCAACGCAATTTTATACATTGTATTTGACAATTTGAAGAGTCTAATTTAGAATGTAATCTACGAAAATTTAGTATTTATCAAGTACTTGATACACAAAGTTAATGGAAGCATTTTGTTCTGTTTGCACAATCACAATGGAACCAGTGTTGTTGGAGACCACAAGCTCGATTGTTTAATACCCAAGGTGAAAAGCTGGATTTTCACACACAAAATGTTGAAGGGATTTTGTAGATGGAATTAAATTATTTATCCAAACTACTGAATAAATTTATCAAAACTAGAAGACAATCAGTAACAATTCATGATTATATTTAAGTAATTTAACCAGTTATGTGTCAAGCCTAAGCTTATTTCACCATAAGAAGCATTTTAGCTACCTGTTGCTAAAGTTTGTTTAATTTAACACTGTCACTGAAACATTTTATTAATAAATACACCCTTCTGTAAAGTACATCACTTTGACTGTTCAGGTTTTGCAGTATGACATATCATCCTATAGGAATTCCTATAGGAAATTTATCCTAATTTCCTATAGGAATAGTAAATGACACACAATGTTGTTCATCACTCTTAATTTTTTAATGCAAAAAATATATACATATAAATATTAAAAAATACATATATTACAAATTAATATAAATATTTATATGAGAAATTGGTTATACTAAACATTACAGATCAATTATAGTTTTCACCTATGGTTTAATAACAAGTCAAAACAAAAACATATAACCTAAAGAAAACCATTGCAATCAATTATATGTACACAAGCACCAATTGTTCTACCTCCATGCAATGCCATATTTATTGACCTTTGTTATTAAACCATAGGTAATGACCATATAAATTGACATGTAAAGTTAATTACATTAAAAGCTGCAGAGCTTCCCATTAACGAGTAAAATCGTCTGGCGTTAGACAAGTAAAAAGTAAAAAGGGCGCACTAGGGCACATTGCGGCTGAATGGGTTAACTACAGACATTGGCAGATTTTTTTGTCAACCCATTAAGCTGCAGAGCTTTGCGTGGTATCCCCATTTAAGAGTTAAACCGTCTGGTGTTAGGCAAGTAAAAAAAATAAGTAGGGCACACTCAGGGACGTACACAACCGGGGGGCGGGGGCAACTCCCCCCCCAGAGAAAACTATTTTTAGAATGTCATTGTTAATTATTCTTTGGATATTTGGGACTTTTTTCAGCATATAGGCCTTACTGCCCCTCTGGTGAAAAAATCCTGCATATGGCCCTGGGCACATTGTGGCTCAATGGGTTAAAATTTGCCTTGAGCAAAACATAGTCCTCAAATAAGTTATTGACTATTCTAGTTAAAAACAAGCAACAAGTCACTTGTAACATTACTCAATAAATATTTTTATATACTAAATGTTTTTTGAATATGCCCCTTTTGCGAATTATTTGCTGGGCAATAATATTTTTAATAACTAGCCTGGTGTTTCTGTTTTTGACTATTGCTCTTGTTTGCCTTTCTGCACTTTGCAACACTTTACAGCGTTGTTTTTGTCCTCATGTGTTGGCGAACCTCTGAGGCCTTACATCCATACTTTGTTGATACATACTGTAAGCTATAAAAAGACAAATAAATTTATTTAATAATGCATACCATTTTGATACAGCTGCTGAAAACAGAAAAATAAGAGAAACATTTCCCCAAGACCCTAACATGGCAAGTACACTTAATAGTGATTGATAATGCTAATTATATTTTCAATAAACTTTCCAACCAGTTGGTTTTTACTTTTTAGGCAAGGGGTCTATTTACCGTCTATACATATTATGTATTATATACAAAAATAGCAAAATGAAGTATTTTTAATAGTACCCACCTTTCATTTCTTGATCATGATCATCATGGCGTAAAACAACTGCCTTAACACCCATGTGAGTTTTTAGCTTGTCTATTTGGTCGCCCGGCCACCAGTGCATTTAACGGGGAAATAACGATTATAATTGTTTCTGGCAACACGGCAGAAATATTTCTTTTTCTCGAATTAATGTAGTCGAACATGGACGGTAAAAGTTGGTATATCAACGATTTAACATCCCTTCCATTTACTATTTGACGAATATCTTCTTTCTGCTCTTCCTCTAACTTAATTTTAGTATTATTTGTTTTTCCAAGTGCAAATAATATTGCTTCTGCCTTCCTCGTACAGTTGCATTCATTGCGGTCGCCATGTTTTTAAGGAGCAATACGTATGCTGTGCCACCAAGCCTCTGCGTCGGAATTCCGACGCAGACCATTACGCAGACTAACAGCCTGAACCAGGGCCACTGTGAGGGCCGCCCGAGCTTGGCCCTGGGGACGAGGATGGCAATAAATTAACTTTCAAAAGGACTGGGGAGTGTTTCGAGGAGCGGGAAATTCAGTCAAAAGTTTGTTTTTGTGCGAAAATCAGCAAGAAAAAGCACTTTTTTATCGAAAACCTTCAACTTTAAAGATTCAAACCTGGTTTCCTGGATAGTTCTAAGTATTTTACATCCACTAACAGCAAAAGCTTCCTGGATAACAGCTTGATATTCAAAATATTACAGAAATTTGAACGTGCCGGAAAAAACTTCGCACTTTGACTCCTGAAAAAAGAACTTTATAACTGCTCTACGTTCTGGAATCATGTTTTGTATTAAATTTCAGGTATAGTTGAAAGTTTTTAACTTTTTTCCTTGTTGAAATACAGCTATTTAGTGATCGAAAACAGACATCTTTTCGGTGGCGTATTTTCCACTCCATACCTACATGGCGGCCATCCATTCTCGTACCCAGAGCCCTTCTTACGCGCGTTCGACCGAGCCCGACGAGGGGCTCTGGCTAAATCCATATCAAACTGGCTTCTGATTGGCCACAACTAAATATATGGTTTATTGTATAAAATATGAATAAAAATCAAGCGCTCCATGAAGCGTTGGTTTCGTTTTGGATAAAATTGGGAGAAGACATTATTAAAGTTGAAAGAACAGTAGTACAAAGCAGTTAGGAAGATTGTTGTTGATAATCGTCCACAAAAGCGGTAGATGTCGCTAATTTTATTTATTTAAATCAATTAGTTGATTGAAATTAATAGGTTGAGACGTGATGTTCTCATAGCAAAAAGTCAGCATATTTTATGGCAGATGCTCGTCGTATTTCCAAATCAG